TACAAAACGAGTTTACAAAGTGTACATCAGCAGTGCTAAGTTAACATTTTGTAGAAACAGCTACATAATGTCACAAAAAACAAATACAATGTCAAAAAATCGAAGTAAAGTTACTTTTCAAGATACGTAAAACCCGTGCCGGTATCACTTTCATAGCTCCATCTCCCTTATACATACACATCCACTAACCTCCGTATGCAATTGTATGCTTGTGTAAGCTCCCAGACGAACCTTTTTTAGTTTTGACTTACAGTCTTAAAAATATTCACGTTATGTATTCTACAATTATGCTTGTCACTGTGAATTTGGTAGCTCAATTGTTAACGGCGCTGGTTTTGAATTTACTTTTTAGTAGCAGGTGTGTTAAAAACCTGTTTACGCATTGTGCAATTTCCCTTAGATGGGAAAGTTAAGCTCCGCACAGGGCACAGTTGGATAACCTGCTTATTTATTTCGTACGATACCTATTGGTTACGCTCAGCTGCACCGAGCCGCTACGAGCTAGCGCTGCGTCACGTATGGCCTTGCTCAGTTGCTTAATATCGCTGGTCATTGCCTGAATTTGCTAACATCCGACACAGTTCAGCATCGCCTAACTCACATTTGTGATTTATATCAATCAATCAAGGTTAGGATCAAAATTTTCTCAGCGGGCGGTTCAGATGACATCTAGCAAGCGAGGCTAAGCCATACTTCACGCAGCGCTAGCTCGTAGTAGCAAGGTGAAACTGAACGTAATGGCACATCTGAAGAGGCAATTTCTTACTGCATTACCTGGTGACAGGAACATACGGCAATTTTTATAGTATGACCCAGCTATACTGCTAGTTAATGCAATGTAATGTAAGTTGTTTAATTTCGTCAGTCTGCCTGATTGCCTGATTTTGTAGGCCCTCTACTTAGAATTCTCGTCAGTGCGTCTACTCATCGAGATATATAGGGTGTAAACGTTATGGTAGTCACTATTGAAATGTAATAGAGGGGGGGGGTAAAAACAAGTCAAAAAGTTTATATGACCCATGGTCCAAAAGTCAATAGATTTTTGAGTAAATGGCTTTATTGCTTACAACTTTAAGTGCTTTATATTGACCACAATCACCACAATCTTGCTAATTTTAATAATGTAATCTAAAACGTTTTTAAATTGGGTAATTAACAAACAAATGACATTAAGCTTTTCTAAGTTAAGCCAAAATTTGTAGTCAGTAAGTAAGTTTCATCAAATTAAATATTTAAAACACGCATGACAACAGCGCGTCGGCCTTTCATTGCTCTTATCGAACCGGCAATCGATCGCAAACGGTAACAGTGGTTAGTTATTGGGCATCGGGCGTGTTGTTTTGTTTTTGTTCGCGTACCTCGTCGTGTTTATTTACAATGTTCTCGAATCAAGAGTTCGCCGACATGTTGTTAGTTTACGGTGAAGCTCGTCACAATTCAAATCTTGCAGCTCAAATTTATCGCGACAGATTTTACCAACGGGTACACCCTGACAGAAGGACATTTTTGCAAGTGTACCAAAGACTTCGAGATACAGGAAGTGTTCAGCCCACTAATATTCGCACTCGTGAAAGACAGGTTACTGTGCAGCAGGAGCAGCAAATTTTTAGTATCGTGGAAATCAATGCGGATATCAGCACTCGGAAATTAGGCCGCCGCATAGGACTATCGCATACTATAGTGCATAGAATCCTACGGGAAAATTTGCTTTATCCCTAACATGTACAACTAGTGCAGGCCTTGTTTCCAGAAGACTATCATCGCAGACTAACATTCTGTCAGTGGTTTTTGCACAAAAACATTGAAAATACGAATTTTTTTAAAAACATTCTAGCGAAGGACGAATTTACTTTTACGCGAGACGGGATATTAAATTTCCATAATACTCACTCGTAGACCCAAGAAAATCCTCATACCATTCATGAAGGTCATTTCCAACAACGTTTTAAAATAAATATTTGGGCGGGTATTCTTGACGATCAGGTAATTGGCCCTTTTGGGTTACCCCCAAAGTTTTCAGGAGAAGGATACCTTAGCTTTCTAGCCAATAACCTACCAGAACTTTTTGAATAGACCTTAGACAGCATGTCATTACAACAGAGACAAAATTTGTGGTTTCTTCATGACGGGGCGCTACCACACATTTTTAGAGGCGTCATACAGTATTTGAATGAACATTATCCAAACCGCTCGATCTGTCGAAATGCTCCTGATCCTCGAAAAGGGCATTAAAGGGATGTTTTATGGGGTTGGTCCAATAATAACTGAAGCACAACTTCGCGAAAAAAAATTTAATGCGTCTGAAATAATAAATGAACAACTTCGAGGACCTAGAGTAAGAATAAACTGGGTTCGTCGTAATGAAGCTTATGAAGAAAGTGGAGGACGACATTTTGAACACCTTGGACTTTTCTAATACGTTCAATAAACTTTCACATACCAGGTGAAGTGCTGAGACAGTTAGTGGTAAGTCCGTTTTTTTAATTGTTTGCATTTTACGAGTACATCATCAAATAATGAAATAATACCTAAGAGCCAAAAATAACAAACTCAATCTTTATTTACACTGCGTTCCGTCGTAATTTGTGTCTGGCATTGCGGCGTTGTCAGATATTATTCTACTTTAAGGTCGTTTTTCTCTAAAAAAATGCCGTTATGACCCCCATCTTATATGAAACTTTTTGCTTCTTTCAACCCCCTCTATCACCCATTTAAAGAATGACGATCATAACGTTTGCACTCTGTATAGCTGGGCAACTTCAGGACGGTCATAATGACGATGCTATAGTTGTCACACTTATTGCCAAGTATTGCTACAAAGATGTTGCCCGTTTAGACGCTCTATAACTATAAAGAAACGTTACCGCCAAAATAGTTGAAACTCTGCTGGTGTACAATGCAGGATCTCGGGAGATGCCGCTGATGTGCTATGCAACTCTTCAGTCGTAGAATCTTCCGAAAAATAATCTTCTGAGGAAGAGTCACTAATGGCGGCGCCAGGATCACTGACGCCGTTGACCCTAAAATATCTCCTGACTGATCTTACAATTTGTTGCTTCTCGTCGAGATCATTATCAAGATCATGGTTGGGAAAGACCTGTCATTCCATAGCATCAGCGAAAAACTCGACCTTGTCCTCTGTCCTAAAGCCTAGGTCCCCAGAACCGTGGATGTGCAGGAGTTGTTCTCGATTTCTATTTCTGAGCGTCTTCGCCACTTTCCAGAGAGGAGTACTTGAGTCAAGCATCCCCACCAGAAAGTTGTTTTATTGCTCATTGCGGAATTCATGGAGAGCATTTCTTACTTCATGAACAAGATTCTTCGCTCTGCGAATGTCATCAGGATATTCAATATGTTGTTTTGACTACGGATGCTGGCAATGTCGCCATGACGTCCCGATGACGAAGGGCTCTTGATCCAGATAACGACGTGTGGATCTTCTCTCTATTTAATTGTTTATACGAGATTTATGCAGTATGATCTTCAGAATTAATATTCAAAACTCCAGATATAAACACTCAGGAACGACCTCTTAAAATATGAGCCAATCCTCCAAATCAGTGAGATTCGGATGACTTTTAATGTAGCATTTATAGATATAAATACTTTGATTCAATTTTAGAAATATTATGAGCAACTTTACACCAAAGAAAAATACTTGTGATCCTGTCAAGGAATGGAAGTACATAGATGATCATAGATCCAATCCGCGGCAATATAAAAGACTCAAATTAATCGTAATCCTACTCAACATAAAGCTAGTAAGTGTAAGGTGCAGTAAGTATTCTTGACCCAAAGCAAAAATGCAAGCGGAAAAACTGTGATGAGTACCGCAGAAACCAATGAATGTATCGGTATTTAAGAACCTTTTTTCTCATGAAGAGACCTTACCCCCTTCAGGTCACCGATCTTGCCGCAACACTATGTGTTGACAGATATTGTCGTCTGTAATTTCTGAAATCCTAAAGTGCATAATATGATAATAAGGTAGAAACTTCTCTTAAAAGAGTCAGTCTCACCATCTGGAGAAGTTACAAAAATGCTTAAATGCGATGCTTAATTTCACCGGCAAAGAGAAAATTTATCAAAAAATTCAGAATTGTTATATCTAGTTGCACAAAAACGCTAAATCTCATCTCGTCAAGATTCCATACGACTTCGTTAAATAGTCCATCGTCAATTATCAGCTCCAGTTTTGCAGAAAATAATTAAATACGCATGGTTTGCATCGCAACTATTTGACCAACCTTTGATAAGTGCTTGATGAATTAAGTTTATACTTTGTTTGCTTTAACTATAATTATCATCCAGTAACATGCTCTAGTGTCTAGTAAATGGGGTAATTAATACAAATTGATTTCTCAGCCCACTGCGTTTTATTATTTAATAAAAAACAACAATACCCTAATTTCATTGCTTACAATCATATTATGTTTACAAATACGTGCTTTTGTAAAATCAGCTTACAAAGAACCTCACAAACTTCCCATTTTGAAATAACAATTTTCTCAGTTAGGATTTTTGAAACTTTGGGAAATGGTAAGGCTGAAACTTTCGCTAGACATTTGTCCTCTATTTCCGACTTGTGTACCTTAGGAATATATGAGCAAGGCACTCTCAATACATACAGCTACGGCTATATCAGTGACCCGAAGAATATAAGGACTCCTTGTCAGTTAGATCCTTCTAAGATGATACAAATTTTCTCTTACGAGAGGGGTAAAAAGGGCCAACCGTGGCCTACTTGACAGGTTTCCCCTTAACACTACTAATAGTCCTCCTCTTGCGACGTGTACACACACCAGACACCATCCGCATCAAACCATTAGGTACCGTTTGACCTACAGTGTTCTCACACAAGACAGCTTGCAAACTCCTTCGAGACATTCAACATGTTTAATAACTTTAGAATACTTGAACAAATCCACAGCTATTGATTAAAATAAAAAAAATAACTTTATGAGTATATGGCGCATAGAGGATGTTTTTCGTGGACCTACCTTCTAGCAAAGACCAATTCTCCAGTCTATGAAATAGCACTGCCCCTGAGCATATGTACGCGAGTACTATCACCAAACAGAGTATCACCGGAACTCGCACTGTATTGGTGCAAGGGCATTGCACTTGCTTCTTGGGCGAAGTACCGCACATTTTTCCATACAATCGTCTGAAGCTGCGAGCTAGAACATCTCCTGTTGCTGAAAGATAGAGCAGCATCAGTGGTATGCCCACTAGTGCGTACATGATGGTCACTAGTTTGCCCCATGTTGTACGAGGTGATACGGATCCGTAACCTGGAACAAACAAATTGTGTTAAGAAGACTGGCTCAATATTCTTACGCATTCATATGCATTTATTTTCAAATTTCCCCCACGGTCTCTTAGAAGTGTTTTTAAAGCATCCCTACAAAAAAGTTTAAAAATCTACGATGATCCTTGCCGAGCAGCTTGTGTCTCATGAAAAATAGTAAAAACATAGTTTTGGAATCACCCAAATTTCTTGATTTATCTGGAATTGTGGAATAGTTTAACAACGTACAGAGACGAAGTTTGCTTTGTGACAACTACTACCAATTTTCTAAAAGAAATGCAGAACTGTATGCTATGACTACTCCTTATGTCTTCCCAAACTTCATCAAAATCCATTGCAACCGTTTCTGAGATTACACAGACAGATTGATGGACCTGAGTGTCATGAATTTTCGTCATGCAGATATCATGTAGTTGCCAAACACTAGTTGCTGAATTTATGAAATCGTTCACGCATAAGAAATAAAAACGAAATTTAGTAAGCTGCTTCAGCATTTCCCACTAATAGGTATGATTCCGTATAAGTAAAGTTATATGTCAGACCAGTGCACAAATGGGGTCGATATTTTTTGTGTTCCAACCAAAAAATGGCGAAGCATTGTTGGTGCTAAACTGTATCCATCGAAGAAACAAAGTAAAATCAAACATATACACCCGTATTGCACGTGATCAAGAACTTAACCGTAGGAGACGCTACAGGGCCGTATCAAGCTATTGTGACTGATCTATCAAAAAATGTCGTACAAGATATGTGTTGCTGTAAATTCTATCAAAAGCATAGTAAATTATCAGGAATATACCACGCCTTTCTAATCATATTTCGACATTAGGAATCAGTGCAAAAAATTCTGTATTCACCATTTCAGCAAAATGTTACTAAAACGCACACGAAAAAAACTTGTGGACCATCTCAATTGAAATTGTTCATATTTTATTATTAACTTACATATATACCCAATAATATTTACAAATCAACCTTCTATTCACAATGCAGAGCAAATTTTTTTGAGCAAATAGAAACTACAGACGTAGTAGTAGTAGTACAAGTTTATTACAGACTCCATAAAGTTTGTTAGTTTGATTGCTATTAAAATTTACATGAGAAATAGGAAGAAGGTCAAAATGGCACTATTATGCTTTGGAACTCCTAAATTAACCCTAATTTTGTGTAATTATAAATTTGGAATTTCCACATTCAACCTTCTCTTGGACATGGTCAATACATGTTCTCCATTTTGCTGGCGTAATTCTATCGACAGCAACATCAAACAGTTTTTTAAGGTTAGAAAACTTAAAAGTGCTGTTATTTGACGCCACGTATTGCTTGATGTCGGCCCAAATCAACTCGATAGGATTCAGTTCGCAGTGATAGGGAGGCAGCCTGAGAATCGTTTTATTTTGGTTTTTGGCCATTTCGTCAACAATTTTTAAATCATATTTATACTGTCGCTTGACTATATTTATCAGCTCAGCTTTCACCGTTGTTTGGTCGAAGTCGATCTTCTTTGAGACAAGCCACTGTTGAATGTCTGCCTTTTTGGTGGCCATTGTTGGAATTTCTTCCAATTTTCTGGAGTGGTACGGGACATTATCCATCACAATAATTGCGTTATCATCAAGTGTCGGCAAAAATTTTTTGAACCAATTTTCAAATGAGTTACCATCCATTTCTTCGTGATAGTCTCCAGTTTTTTTGGATTCAAATGCCCACAATGCTTCAGGAACAAATCCATCTACGCTACCTATGTGGCAAATGATCAGGCGTTTTCCCTTGCCTGAAAGTAATTAGTTATTTTACTTCTCAGCGAGCGCACTAAATGACGAAATTAAGCAACTTACTCTTTTTAGGTTAGTGTAGGATAGGGTCTTAGATTAGTTTTTGGGTGAAGGAAATACTCAGAAACTTGGATGAGATAGCAAAACTGAGTTCGGAGCTTCCAAATCATTGATTCGATCAGAAAATGAATTATCTGCATCCAAAAAAGTTCATATACTTCGAAACCTACCTGCAGGATTTTTCAATCCCGTCGAAAGGCCATCTAAAAAAGCCTGCCTTGAGGACCTCACAGATCTGTCTACCCAAACCTTTCCTGCGTATGCCCCGCGTTCACCCATGTTTCGTCTAAATAATAAATTTTTCTTCCTTCAGCGCGGAATTGCCTAATTTATCTAAGGTATTCTCTCCTCCAGATAACAATTTCCTCCTTTTCTATCAATAAACTATTCCTTCCTCTTTTCAAAAATCGAAAGTCTAGTTCTTTCAACGTAGATCTTTTAAAATTTTTCAGGTCCTCATCATCATTCACTTGCTTCAATATTTTATCTATTGTAGGTATTTCATTCCTGAAGAAAAAGTGATGTACTTTTTTTCTAATGGCATTTTTGTCAAAGACATCTATTTTTTCGATGATTTTTTGTCTCGCTGGATATGTTTTTGGCTCAGATAGTGAGTGATTTTGTCTATATTCCTTCAAGATTTTGTAAACACTTGATCGACCTACTCCAGAAATTTCAGCAACCTTACATACGATATTTTCTATAGCCAATCCACTATTCTCTTGCATCTGGTTCTTGTAGATATTTAGAATAATTTGTTTTTCACCTGCGCTAAGATGAAGCTTTTTAGCCCTTTTTCTGGGTGACGTTAAGCTGATTTCAACCACTTCATCAGCTGTATCTGTGTCAGACATTTTAGACTAATATTAAATTTCCGCAAGAAAAATCAAGTCAAGACGTGCATAAAACGTTCGCGCTCATAAACGGGTATCCGTAACTGATTACAATCCTGTGCGTGGTGACGAACCATCAACGTGACGCTGAGAGTTCCCTCTACTATGCAGCGTTGCCAGGCTTAATGTCACAATGATCATGTTTTATTGGGAAAATTGTCAGAAATCGCCGAATGTTGAACAGAAACATTACAAGAAGTCTAACCTTGAAATGTGAGGCTACAAATCAATATTCTTATAGGGGGGAAGGGTAGGGAGCTGTTATGGTTCCTATTAACCTTGGTGAAAGTTGGAAACGGTAATATCATATATGGCATACATTCGGTTGAAGGTGTGTGCACGGAAAATAGATTGCGGATAGGATTTTAATAGATAAATCTGCACAAAAAAACACAAAAGAAGATTTTTGTATTTCCCTGAAGAATATCTCAAGGTTATTTCAGATGTACTCATCAAAACTTTATGGAAGGATTATCGAAACCTTATTTTCAATTGCGATAGGGCCACATACCTCGACATCGCATTAATGTGAAAAATTTAACTATAAAGATTGCACAAAAATTTCCTTCACCTTTTTGAGCTTGTTTTCGCATCTCCGTATATGCCGTTCATAATTTGCTGCAGATCAAATTGGAATATACCTTTGTGATGCCATTTATTGTTATATAATGTCCTTTACAACAGTTATTGCACGTATTGCACCAACAGATTGATTTGTGATCCATGCGAATGTGATCAACCACTCTGGCAAAAACTCGCCGAGCGTGGCAACCGTGCGACTTTGTCTGGAGGGTCGTCGCTACAAGCCAATCAGGAAGAAGCCGACAGAGCGCCATGGCTACCGATCACGCGTTGATCACGAATCAACCACTGTTTACGATTACTTTGTAGCTTCGTTAGATACACAATAAGTTGGTCTCGATATCATAGAAATTTCGAGAGAGTTGAATATCGGGTAGTTTTATTCTAAAAATCTTGTTCTTGGCGACCAGGATATGGCAACATGATCACCTCGATGTCAGCAGCAATGCACTCAACCATTTTTGGGAAATTATTTTTGGTTGAAAACCAAGTGTTTTGTATATAATATATAACTATTGTTACTATTTTTTTCTGTACACTGTGTTTGAAATGGGCGCTATCTAAAGTCTTGTAAATCTGGACCTAAATTAGGATCCAATTCTTCGTAACTTTTTAACTATTTTCTATATTGTGATATGCGCGCCATATTGTAAAAGCCTTAATTGTACACTTTTTGCAGTGATCAACTTATAACCATCGAGATGCGCTATTATTGAAATACATTAGTAAAATTCTAGAACACAGCTTTCTGTACAAATATGTTAAAAAGATACTTCCTATAAGCTATATTATGGAACCTGAAAAAACAACCGTGAATAGTTTTGCACAGTAACCGTAAAGACAATCTATGGTATTTTATTTTGGCCAAGTTTGTTAATTATATATCACAACTTTACCGTATCACCATATTTACAGAGTGCAATTTTCAGATGTATTGATTTGAGCAAATTTTATGTTTTTCTTTCCTGTGATGCGGGCTTTATTGCCAGCCTCATAAAAGCGATAGTTTTAACAATAGGTACCGCAACAAAAGTGTCTTCCATCCTCAGACTAAAAAAAAATTCGATAATATTCTCGAAAAAAAAAATGAAAATAAGCTGTTAAAATCAAACTGGGATGAAGTTTCCCAAGCTTTGGGATATCTTAATAGCTATCTGGGCTGAAATAGAATGTTTGTAGTTCTGGAGACCCCGTGTCATGCAATGAGTGTATTTGTATGGTTAAACATGACGTCACGGCTTAGCCCGCAGATTTCTCTTGTATCTATTCTGAAGAGAAGCTTTGAAGATTATGCTGTGTACATCAATAAAAGAGAAACTGTCCCTGAGTCCACACAATGCACTGTATGACTCATAGTGTCATCTCTTTCTGGCAATCGCAACAACTGAATTTAATAATCGAACTCCGAAATTTATAGCTCTCGGAGTGCTATTCAATTTTGTTTTAATCGAGTTTTTGCAGCATTCCGCCGGATTTGGTAATAAATGCCATGCATCAACGCAAAAAGTAAATAAAAAGCGACCCTCTGGTTTTATTAAAAATAACGTCAAAGTATAATTTATGTGACCGTTTTGTGGCAGTTTTTAATTAATAAGTACATATTGGTATATGAATATTGCAGTGGAGTATCTATGGGGTAATATCTGAGCTGAGGACATAATAATATACCTCTCATTGCTTA